GCTTCAAACAAGCATTTTATCATAGTACATCAGTTTCTAACTGTTTAAAAAAGGTTTTGAGTGTTAACCCAAAACGAAAATTGGGATCAAAACTCGTACGAAAGTCTAGCTTTTGGCGCTTTTTGCCCTTATTGCTCATTATTGAAAAAAATTACCTCTTAATACATAAAATAAACATTATGAAGTGTTATTTAACATGATTATATAATCGATGTAGAGTATTTCTCTGGTTCGATGGCAGCTTTGTAATCTCAGTTACGACAGCAAAAAAACTCAGTTTGTTTTCTAATTAAATCGTTAAAATTTCCAAACACTTCTTACCCCCCACATTAAGTAAAAGCCTTTAGAATACCAATGATCGATTCTAGATATCTAAGGTTACGATGATTAGATCGGAGGATTGTTTCATTAGTTTTAATCTTTCTAGCGCCACATCAGATACTGTAGATATGCAAGCATAACTCTTCGGTGTTATTATGCAAGATTTTTTTCTTCTGTTGAAGTAAAGTAGGTAGACAAAATAAATTTTCTCTCTGCGGAAAACGTAGTTTTTAAAAATTCCTTTTTAAAAAACCCCGCTTGATAGTAGCGAATGAGTTTTATGCAAAAAGAGTGAACGAGAATTTGTAGTTCATGTTGAGAGGTTTTTGGATAAGTTGTACTTTATGCTTGTTATTGTAAGATGTCGAGTTTCCTCTATCATAGTATTTTACGCTCTAAAACTAAAGGAAAATGCAATTTCCGAAAGGAAATTCCTCACTAATTAGAGAATTAAACTCGACTTTAAGTGAGAACGTCTAAGAAAAGAAGTTTTGATCTTCGCGTTAAGGTAGGAGTGCTAATTTGTCTGTTTTTTCTTCTTCTTCTTTCATTAAAGCCTAAATAGCCACAGGTGCGATATCCACAGCTTTTAAATTTTGTTTTCGCAACGAGTTCATGAATTTTTCATTTTTATTCAACTTTTATTAGAAACGTTTGGTGACTTTTTCTCTGTAACAAAACGGGAAAAGCTAAAATATAAATAACTACTAACTTCCAATTCGATCTCGCGTCGAAAGCTTTTAAAACCATGAGCCGTAGGCAATCACTTTCATTACTCCTCGTAAACGGCATAAAAAAATTACATTCTTTAAGATTTTACTAGATTTTAAAATTTTCATTGTTTCAATAAATAGTATTTTTTGCCAAAATGGTTACGTGTAAATGTGAAATAATTCCTTTCAATTTTGAAAAACCAAATTTAAATTTTTAGGGAATAAATTACAGCCGTTTTTGACGTTATGAAATCGATAGCAGAATTACTAAAATGAAGCCTAAAAATAGATTATAAATATTGTTGAAAGTTGCGACCTCAGAAAAGGAAGGCAAAGTCGTAAAAATAAAAACAGCAATCGGATACTAATCCTCAGCTGGACTCAACCTCAACGAAATATCCAAAATATTTAACAATAAATTAGAGTTAAGGAAGGCAAACCTCTTACGGAACTAAAATATCCTCCAGCTCTAAAAACAGCAACAACTCGAGGTCTTACTACACGAGTTAGACGTCCGGTAGTCCACGTTAAAATATATATTTGTAAATAAATTACGAATGACATGGACTGTAGTTCTTCAGCATACCGACATCAAAGAGAAAAGCCCCGTCAACACATATCCGAATATTTTTAAATTTCATTTTCTCTTTTTACAAAAAATATGACTTTTTTTCTTTGCAAATTGACCTTGAAAACTCAACTTGTCGAAAACGGATAGTAGTGGATGAGCGAAAACGATTCGAAAACGCTACGTGTGGACGATTTTTTTTTTTTTTGAAAACGGAAAAAAACATTTCCCGTTTTCAAAAATATCCGGATACCCACTTGTGGACAGGGCGTAGAATACGACTAAGGATTTAATCCATCCTGAAGAGCACTTACCTTCTATGAAGATCATTTCCTTGAGTGTACAAAAGTGGCTTACAAAAAACTAGAAAACTAATCTATTGTCTCCGCGAGTTCACTTCTACATTTTTGACTTAACTTGAAACTTTTCTGCCCTAACAATCGATCGAACGCCCTTGCGGGGCGATTACGTTGAATCAAAACGAACTATGATTTCTTTTTTTATGATTCAAAGCTTCCTGTAGTGAACTTCTAGACGTTTGTGTTCTTGAATTAGGATTTGGCTTATGTAGGGATTCTTGAGAGCTATATCAGTCAACTAGACAGCTTTACTTATCTCTTTCCTTTCTTTATTCAGTTCTCTTCTTTATCAATAAGTAATAATTATATCTATATATTTTCAAACTCAGAAATAATGTACTTACAACCTATGTAGAGATTCTTGACAGCTATATCAACTTGACATCTTTATTTATCTCTTTCGTTTCTTTCTCTTCTTTATCATAAGTTATAATTATATCTTTATATTTTTAAACTCAGAAATAATGTACTTACAACTAGAGATGTTCTCTTGAAATAGGAACTGGCTCTGGTCTTGATTTATTTGGAAATATTTACTTTAGCATAAGCTGTGCTGCTTCCATGAGTCTAAATTACAAAGAAAAATAAAAAATTCTTATCGGTATTTTGATTTCAATGAAAGAGGTGGCTGGGGGGGTAGAGGAATGATTTGAATAAGAATAGTCTTCATAAGGACGAAAATCAGTTTATCTGACTTTTATTTTTGTTTTGATTCTGACTTGGTGTCCTTGGGTTGTCAAAAATGGTGAAAGATCTTAATTACTGTGAGAATAGCTAGCGCTATGGGTGGTTAGGATTTAAGTAATCGCCATGAATGTGTTACACTAGGCTGGTAAATAAGAAACTACGGGAGACCCGAGGGAATTGGAAGTTTTAATACTTGCTCAAGAGAATTAAATCAACTCTCTTTATACCCGAGGGAATGCAATATTTGTAGCTAAAGAAAGAAAGCATTAAAAATTGATATAGGAAATATATTTTTTTAAATAGAAAGGGAATAAAAAAGAGGATAAAAAGAGAGGGAAAATGAGATTAAACGAATCGCGAAAAAGAAGAAATAAGAAAAAATCAGAACAAAATAAAGAGGAATGGTTGAAAGCAAAACGAATGGAAAGAAACGAAAATAGGCAAAAATATATATAAAGCCTATAAAATCGAGAGCCAGTCAAAGAAGCCAAATCAGTCTTTCCCTTCCCTCACTCCTCCCTTTTATCAATTTTTTATGACTTTTTATTAACTTTTCCAAGAATCTAAGGGAATTAAAAAAACTAGGTCCTCTTTGTTAAACGAAAAGCTGTAATTCAAATGAAACCTTTCTACATGTTATAATAGGCGTTCATGTTGTGCTGGTAGTTATGGTAACGACCATCAGTTTTACCCCTCGGCTCTCGTTAAGAATGATATTAATTATCACCATCCTAATAGTTCGTAAAAATCTTTGCATATTTATTGCACCCGTTTTGTATATTCTCGCCAATTAATAAACCAAAATATTGAATTTTTTTTAGCCAAAAACTCAATTTGAGAGCATAAATGAGAGCGATATGTAGTTGTAAACATCGTGTGATTACCAGATGTTCAACTGGTGAAAAATTGACCCTTCTCAAAATATTATATAAAATTAACATTAAAAAATACGAAAAGGAATCCCTTTTTTCTCACTAACTTTTGTCGGCAATTTTTTAAAATATATTTTTACGTGTAGTTAGCCTCACATTCAAGATAATATTGAAAAAGGTTCATTCTAAACATAATCCAAAAACGTATTTTTATTTTTTGAAGTAATCTTTATAAAGATAATCTTTGAAAAAATCATTCTTATGACAATGTTAAAACATGAAAATTGTACGACTAACCTTTGAAAAGCCTTTATGAAGATAATCCTTCACAAAACCATTATAATAACAATGCTAAAACATTTGCATTCTACGACTAACCTTTGAAAAGCCTTTACAAAGATAACCTTTGAAAATGCTAAAAAAACTTATATTCAGTCTACAACTAACCTTTGAAAACCCTTTATTTTTATATAGTACGGTTTTTACTGACCTTTTATTGTTATTTATCACGCTTTTCCCTCGAGATGTAATGTTAAGGCTTTTCAACTTGCTTGCTTCATTCAAGTGAAATTAACTGAATATCAAAGATGAAGTCTACATGTCGCTACAATAACACCAATCAGAAGTAATTTTCCATTTCGTTGACACTTAGAAGATTGATGACTTCATAATGTGTTATATAATTCTTTCCTTCTCTCCTTCATAACTTGCTGAATTTAGTAAACATTCGAATTAAGCAAATTTCTTGCAAAAATCTGTACTAGATTACGCACAGATGTTTACGAGTTGCTTCGTCACCTTAAACTAGCTTGATTCTGTTTTTTTTTTTTCTTTCTTTCTTATATTTGTTATGAATGAAATATTGGCAAAAATGTCTTCCTATCGCTAATTTTTTCATGAAGCGAAAACAAAACGAACTAAAAGCCAAACAAAAATCTGGAACGACGTCTCTTCGTGTGTGGGGTTTTGGAATTTCAGTTGGTTTAATTTTATTAAAAGAAGCAAACAGATGAAGTAGATAATAAACTAAGAGCTCCTAGAGGAATTCCCCGATAAGGAAAAGGAAATAAATTTCGCCATTTTATCTAGTTTTCACGTAGTTTTGAAAGGAATATATTTTTGCTTAAAAATAAATATGTATCATCAAAAAAACCTGTTGGAATATTCATTTAATTATATTGTTAAGAAAAAATTGCTTATTCTTCAAGAGGTGTAGAAATTGTAGTTCAGTCCTCTGGTTTTTCAAAAGGATTAAGACTAGTACACTGTTATTATATCAGAATTCTTCACTGAATTCACTTGATTTCGAAGCAATCGTGTTAAACATTCATTGCTTCGCGTGACGAAGGATTAGATGACTGTCGATTACTTGATGCAATACAAACTATGTGTTGTTCTGTTGAGTATTGTTATTTTCTCTACCAATACTCCTTTGGAAAATACATAAACACACTTCTTTACCTTGGACTTAATGTTCCCATTTCAGATCATGTGTCATTCTCTTGAGAATAAGATTCTTTGTCTGAGTTGTATCCATATTCATGTGTCTTCTCATGCACATCCATTAAACAAAGAAATAATACTCTAGGGAATGGCGCATAATCTGAACTGGAAAAACCTCTTACCTAAATGCGAAGTTGGTTTTCCAAATTTGAAATAGAAAACTGTATTTTATAGTCAGTTTTGGATACACATTATTTCATTTTAACAGAGAATAGACAAATGCTAGAAAATTTTATTTTTCATCGAAAATACTTTGCGCGCCAGGATTCGGACGGAATCACTTGGCAAGTGTCGTTGGTCGCGCTTACAAGGTCATAGAAATATTCAGATATGAAATATCTTGAATCATGCAGGTATGCTTATTTTACTACCATCGATCAGTGGACACCTTTTAATAAATCCCTTGCATGTGACGTCAAAGCAGCTCAATAGATCCCTTGCATGTGACGTCAAAGCAGCTCAATTTGGAAAACAAAACGAAAGAATTTCAATCTCCTGAGAATTATATTATTATCGATTGTTGAAGCAAAGGTGGCTAGCGGTATGGTTTGATTTCTGGACTCCCAAAATTAAAATTCGATCTGTGAGTAAGCCATGCCCTGCCTTAGATCAGCCCAGAGGTTGTTTCAGGGTTTGATCTGTAAATTAGCCATGCCCTGACTTAGATCAGCCCAGAGGTTGTTTCAGGGTTTGATCTGTAAATTAGCCATGCCCTNGTTGTTTCAGGGTTTGATCTGTAAATTAGCCATGCCCTGACTTAGATCAGCCCAGAGGTTGTTTCAGGGTTTGATCTGTAAATTAGCCATGCCCTTACTTAGATCAGCCTACAGAGGTTGTTTTAGGGTTTGATCTGTGAGTTAGCCATGCCCTGACTTAGATCAGCACAGAGGTTGTTTCAGGGTTTGATAAAGTTTGAAGTCAATACTATTCTAGTGAATTCAACTGATATCTTAGTTTCGATCTTAGATTCGAGCTTCTTCAGCTGTCACGCTGTTGGTTCGATATCTTAGTAATTAAAGTGTTATCTTTGAAACTTGAAAATATTTCTTTCTTTCTTTCTTTCTTTCTTTCTTTCTTTCTTTCTTTCTTTCTTTCTTTTCTATTCCGTTT